GCAACAATCTCTCATTCTCTGTCATGCATTTTTATGAGAGAGCATGTGCCCCTTCTGATTCAGTATTTATGCTGCAGAGAATGTGGTTTTACTAATTGGCATGTCAAAGGAATGCTAACATATTTAATTGCAGATGATGAAAGTGCATAGTAGGGCAATCAACCATTAAGTCCCAGATGGGAAGCGAAAGAAAATGGAAATACTCCACCTTCATAAATAATTAGCAAAAACTATTGTGGAATGGATACTTCTGACAATTGTGAAATAAAACAGAACAAACCTTACGTACCCTAATGTTCCATAAAGAAAGGATGATGTGAAAGAAGTGACTACAGTGTTAAAGTGCACTAGAAATGCAGGTGAAATACTGAAGTGGATGAGATAACACAAAGAAGGCAGATTCCTAGCAGGATTAGCTCAGTTGAATGTTGAATCACAGTGGGAAAGGGATAGATTAGAAATGTCATAAATAATTAGTCAGCATTGTAACATGGAAGGGATAGTTCTGATGATTGTGAAATGGTCACAACCAACAGCAGCACAGTTGTGGGGTGGCAGCCCACATCTCTTGCACCTGTTATCTTGCCACTCACAATGGATTGCATGCAATTATTGAGAGTGGTGAAGTGGTAAACCAGAAATGTAATAGTGAAAATGAAAGACAGTGAAAACTGTGAGTATCAAGGTAGGGATGTTGTAACCAAAGAAAGTGTGCCTTCCTAGGAGTAATATGGTGACAATCCCCAGAAACAAGGTATGGATTGTCCTGTGTGAGAAAGTGAGCAATATTTGGTTTGAGGCAACCCTGAATTTTCTGGGACATAGGATAATGTATAGGATTCAATAGTCTCCTGCTGACTGCCTCCTCGTTTATGAACCTGAGTAAGGAGGAAAGCACTGTGTTGAAGTCCACAAGTCCTGTCCTTCCTAATCAGTATGCACAAGAGTCAGCTTGCTGGCTTCTTTTTCAGAAAGGACCGCTAAAACACATCAAACACCAGGAAGGTGTTCCCTGGTCTTTGTCTTATGAAAGGACAGAAAATCTTCACCTGTAACACTGGTGACCTATTCCCTAAGTTCCTCTTTTAAGGTATATGTCGCCAATGTTATTGTGATGACAGGTGCCAATCAAAGGACTTTATTTAACATTTGAAATAAAGCTGAGAAAGAAAGTGGAATTGAGAATAATTACACTGTATTTTTTATATACGTTCACAGATAAGTCTTAATTACCTCAGGGCATTATGCTTTGCCCACCTCTGCTCACATGGTGTGCACATGCCAACCCTGGACTTGGGGTAATGAAGAAGTACTGAAACCTTCCTCTCTGAAAGCATGGTGGAGAAAAAGACTTCTAGTATCATGGATTGAGGTGCTCCATGTCAAGGTCACTGACTCATTTCTAAATCTTGCAAATGCGGGGAATACATTTGTGGAATGGGCATCTTGGCACTGATCTCAAGTGTGCCATGGAACTGATGTAGAGAGATCCTTAAAGTACTACCTGCACGTAATATTGACCTAGATAGATTCAGCTTCTTCAGACATGCCCTTTGCTCTGTCTCTTTTTCTCTCTCTAAAAGGGTCCCTGTGACTTCTGTTGTAGTCTGAGAAGGCATTTTTAAAATTCTGACAGATTTTTCTGTTGTCCAAAAAGAAGGTAGGGAAGGATAGTCCACAGTCATCTGAAGTAACACATATACTATTTCTGCTTTAAGCCTCCTTACAATGAATTTCCTAAAACACTATTTGGTGTTGACTATGATGTCCTATCTAGACCAATGCAGAGAGACTTTTTGGAATGCCATTAATCATGAAGATTCCTAAGGACATTTCCAATGTGATAGTACTCCCAGATATAGTCTTAACAACTACATTATGTCACATTATGCCACTCCTTTGGGGAGGACATGTTTTTATGTATTTATTCTCCTGGTATTGTAGCACTTCATAGTGGTCATCAGAGGTTATCAATCCGCTCTGCTAGCTGCATGGCAAACGGAGAATAAGATGGTCTCTGCTATAATGAACTCTCAGAAACTAAGATTCAGACAGACAAAATCTCTCAAGATTTAAGTTTCAGACAGATTGCCATTAGAAGGAATTCCACAGAATCATAGGACATTTATACATGTCCTCCAGGAGATGGAGAGAGGGGCCAATTTACTTAGCCAACTTATTTATTTAATTTCTAGTTAAAGTGCTTGGAGTGTCACATGTATCAGCATTGGGGATGTGCGAAACTTCAGTCCCTAATTCAATTTGGCGGAGATTCAGCCCAATTCAGTGGCTGAATCTCTGAATCTGAATCTGAATCGAATCAGAGGACCCTTTAATCTCTACGAATCGAATCGGAACCCTCTGAATCAATTCGGAGGGATTTGGAAAGATTTGATGATTCGGACATAGGCACAGCTTTAAATGTTTTTTCTAGGTACCTCTAGGTACTAGGTGGCTTGTGAATACTGCAGTGTTGGGGCAGGTGGAGCATCCCACAGAACTGTGTCGGGGGGCTCCCCAATGTGCTTGGTAGCAGTCCAAGAAGTGGACCAGAAGTACTTCTGGATATGCCGGGGAGTGCACAGGGAGGCCTCCCCTCCTCACCCCCCGCAGCTCGGCAAATGGTGCCTCCTGGGTCTGGGGGGGGCATGCAGGGTTCCCCTGCAACCAATCACTGAGCCTGCAGGTGCAGGGGGGGGGGCCCAGTGCACTCCCCAGAGGACCCAGAAGTGGACTGGAAGTACTTCTGGTCCACTTCCAGGTTCACCACTGAGCACGTAGAGGGCCCCCCACATTCCTGTGGGACGCTCCATCCATCCCAGCATCGCAGCATTCATTAGCTGTGCCTGATACCTCAAAGGATGTAGGAAAAACATTTAAAGCTGTGCCTATGTCCGAATCACTGATTCTTCAAAGCAGCATTTCATTTTCAGATTTGGATTTGGCTGAATCAAATCAAGGACAGTGATCCAAAACAAAAAAAACATCAAATCACTGTCTCCGATTTGGGCTGAATCTGAATCTAATAGGGCCCATTTTGCACACCCCTAATCAGCATCTCTGCATTGACAAATGGTGGTGGGGGCACACACATTGAATGAAATTCAGTTAAAGTTAGTGCCCCTGCTGACATTTTTCAGCAGGGGGATGCTCATATACGTGATACTGGAGTCTCCTGGAGCAGAGTAATTACCAGGCTCCAGCAATCTCAATTAATCAGGTCTGTTCTGGCAGCAGCCTTGATGCATGTGTGTAGGCTCCCATAGGTTTGAAATAGACCTGTGTCATCTGGTACAAACCCTTGCT